AAAGTTGAGGAAGTCATGGTGGATGTTTATAAGGTTAGTGGGGAAAATGCTGAACTGGAAAATAGGAGTAGGAAAAGGAGGAAGGTGGATGGTGGCCTCATCGATGATGAAAGTAAGAGGATGGTGGAGAAAGTGAAAAGAAAACTTATGGCTGATAAACTGCGGAGTAGTGATCGAATTTTGCGGTCGAGTTCTGCAGTAAAGACAGAGTGCGGTAGTGTAATTGATAGTGAAGAGAATAGAAGTAGTATGGCGGTGCAGAATTGTAGGAGCAGTAGGTATGGCAAGAAAATAGTGAAGCTGGAGAGGGGAAGTGACGATAAATTGTTCTCTGGGGATCAGAAGATAAAAAGAAAGCGTGGGAGACCCCGGAAGGTTGAAAAGGAAGCTGAGGAATTAGTTGTTAGCCCTATGAAGAAGTTGAAACGGAAGCCTGGAAGACCACCCAAGTCGGAGAGCGAACATAACCATCAATTTGTCTGTGGGTCGAAGAAGATGTTGAAAAAGAAACCTGGAAGACCACCCAAGATTAAACAGGAAGATGATAATCCATTTTTTGGTGGATTGAATACCTTCAAACGTAGGCGTGGAAGACCACCCAAGTTGCAACAAAACAATGGAGCTATGAAGGATAAGCACAAGGAGGAAAGAAAGGTCAGGTGGGTGAGAAAAAAAAAGTTAGGTATGAAGTTGAGAAGCAGGGTGAGGAATAATGTGCCAACTGATTGTTTATCCTCGGATAAGAGGGATATTATGAAAGAAACACACGTGAAAATAAATTTGCCGGCTGAAAAGGATTTATCTCAGGAACATTTGGAACTAGATGCAGCACTTACCACGAGTTCAAAGGTGGTTACTTGTGGTGACAAGATTAAGGATGTGAAGAAAGTAGAAAAGCCGAAGATCACAGTAGATGAATGCAGTAGATCTGTAGCAAAGAATTTATTGAGAGATAGGATTACTGAAATATTAAAAACCGCTGGTTGGACAATTCAGTATAGGCCCAGATTTAATCGAGAGTACAAGGATGCAGTTTATGTAAGTCCAGAGGGACGAACTCACTGGTCAATCACCTTGGCATATAATGTGCTTAAAAGGCACTATGAAGAAGGTGATGGTGATTCTAAAGTTTATAAGACTGGTTTTATATTTACTCCAATACCAGAGGAAGAAATCATGACACTAACAAGGATTACGAAAGCAAGTAGGAACAAAGAATTGAAGAAACAAAGGGGAAATGGAAACATAAAAGCGAAAGGGTTGATTGAAAAGACAAGGTGTAAAGAGAAAGCGAGTTCTCCAAGGAGTCTAGTTTCTGGGTCAATTAAGAGGAAGAGGAAAAGAAATACTTCACACCATGAACTTGATAAGGAGTTTCCTAGTTCATTTCGGACACAAAATAGAAAGCGATGTGCTTTGTTGGTTCGAAATACAGAGGAAAGCATCAATTCATGCAATGATGGGTATTTACTATATACTGGGAAGCGGACACTACTTGCTTGGATGATAGATTTGGGGATTTTGTCGCTTGATGAGAAGGTACGGTACATGAACCAAAGAAAGACACGGGTGAAACTTGAGGGTAAGCTTACAAGAGAGGGAATCCATTGCGACTGCTGTGGTGAAGTTATTACACTTCCAAAATTTGAAATGCATGCAGGAAGCAGACTTGGTCAGCCACTTGAAAATATATATGTACACACTGGTTCTTCCCTCCTCCAATGCCTGTTGGAATCATGGAATAAACAAAATGAACCACAATGTAAAGGATATAATTTTGTAGATGTTGACGTTGAAGACCCTAATGATGATACTTGTGGAATTTGTGGAGATGGGGGAGATTTGTTTTGTTGTGATGGTTGTCCATCTACGTTCCATCAAACTTGCTTGGGTATTAAGGTAAGTGTTCACCATGATATTGTGGTATGCCAGTTACATTCAAATCCAATCAAGTTATTCTTCGGTGTCATGCCCTTCCTCTGGGCTACCCCAACTTTATTTAGGTGAATTAATTTTTTTGGTCGTGCAATGAAACTATTAATTCATGCGTTAGCAGTTATGTTTAAGGTACTCCTGTCGCTGAACTAAGTTTTGTACTTTATGCTTAAAGAATTTGACAGGTGATGAAAAATCATATATATTCTGGAGGTTTGGATCAATTTTTATTCTGGCATATTGCATCAATTGCGAGTGATTATTAAGTGAAAGTCTCTAAAACTATCTAGGACATGAATTTTGTTGTCGTTTTTAATTGGAATTTGATTTTTTTTTCTGACATACAAAATTTTATAAAGATTTACTTAGAATAGAACTATTAAGATACTGAGTTTTTAACTTTGTTTGACTTTCAGAAGTTTCCTTCTGGTCACTGGAACTGTTTATATTGTTCATGCAAATCATGTGGACAAGTCACAACAGATTTACATTTAAGGGATGATCATCATGAGGCAGCTGCAGCTGTGTTATGTAAATGCCACCTCTGTGAGGAAAGATGTAATGAATCTTACATTTCCCTTTCCTGTGGACACTTTACTTCTATTCTTGTCTAATTCTTATGAGTTATATTAATTTTTTCTTAGCAGTATTTTTGTCGTTAAAATTATTATCATCAGTGCTATAATTTACATAGTAAGATAACATCAAATAATCATCATTTTAATCATTCATTCTATCTGTTTTAATTTAATTTTGATGACTGTGAACCGAAGTGTGAATAAGTAATTGTTATTTGCAGATCATCCGACATGTGTTCAGACAAATGATGCTTCTGGTGATGATGTGAATAACCCATTGTTTTGTGGGAAGAAATGTCAAACGGTAATATTTCAGTTATTTGTTATAATAACCAGACTTGGAAATTTTTGGATTTTTTGTGAGTTCATACTTCGGTTGTTAATCCCTGAAATTATGATACTGAAAGACCTTGGGTATTCTTAATTTGCGTTAAGTGGCTATGCCTCATTCAGGAATGCAGCACAGTCAAAATTTATTTGTCCATATTTTAGAGTTAAATTATACCTTGGCTCCTAAAATTGGAACAAAGCTAAGGTTCTTCGTCATGCATCATGGCGTATTTATTTTCTTAAAAAAATGAAAATTTCTTGAATTCTTTCCTTTCAAATTCGAAATAAAGGAAAACCTCTTTAGTTTATTGACTTAGTTGTGCTATATGATGTTGTTCCAGTTACATGAAAGACTACAAAAGCTTCTTGGGGTTAAGCAGGATATGGAAGAAGGATTTTCATGGACTCTTATTCGTAGAAGTGATGTTGGTCCAGATGCTAGTCTCTGCGCTGAAGTAGCTCAGAAGATTAAGTGTAACTCCAAGCTTGCTGTTGCTTTGTTTGTTATGGATGAGTGCTTTTTGCCCATCATTGACCACAGAAGTGGGATCAATTTGATTCATAACATTCTATATAACTGTGGGTAAGCACCTTTCAACTCTGAGTTAATAATTAATCGATTTTTTGTCTGCATACAAAATATGAGCGACTTGTTTATTTATTTATTTATTTTTTGGATAAGAGACAAATTGCCTTCATGTCTGATATAATTTTGCCCCCAGCGACCAGTCTTTGTGCTTGTAGTATACTTAAATACACACATTTCATTCATTACTTATTTACTAGACATTCAATTTATGTGACAAATACCAATTTAATAGAATGGTGAATGTCCAAATACTTATTGAACTTGCTTTTGCTTTTTCTTCACAAGTTTATTCACAGAGGAGTTGCTGGTCCCTTGACTAATGAATGTGTGATTCTTGTTGAACAGTAACTTATCTTAACATTTTAGCTTGCCTAAATTTATATTAGAAGACACCTGCTTACTAGTAGTCATTTGGCGCTTTTGATGCACTCATTGAGATGCTTGAAATGATGGGAATGTGGCTTTGCTCTTTGTTTTGAATAAGTGAAAACCTTCTGGATGTTTCTGGGCAAGCTGCATTTGGGTCAATGATGGTTTTATTTGCAGCACATCTAAATTCTAAATTGATGTTTTACATGGGAACCAAGGTTGTACAATGGTTTTTCTTCACGTTGATATTTTAGTAAAGATGGAAGCTTTAGTTTTGGAGAGGAAGATGGAAGCTATAATGCTGTTATCTCTTCCACCTTTTTGGCTTACTAGCTCATAGCTGTCTTAGTTTCTTTTTCTCCTGTTTTATGATTGTACACACAGTCATTGGTGCCTATACCACTTGCAATACCACTGGTTATACATGAAAGAAAGAAAGAGGTAAATTATTAGCCAAGAGTGGAACCTCAATTTCCAGGATGACAGTTCGGGAGTTTGTATCCTTTAACATTTTTAATATTGAATGGAAGAACAGAAGTATGGGCTAGGCAGAAAGGAATATTGCTACGAAATGGAGCCCACAAAAACAAGAAGACCAAATAGTCCTTAAGAAGCTAACATTCTTAGGAATTTTACCCTTCCAAACCACTTTAATGAATTGTAGAAAGTTATGCATCCTATAACCCGAAAAAAAGGAAAAGAAAAAAAGATCATGCTGCATTGTTTGGATCTCTGTTTCACTAGTATAAGAATAAGACATAAATTGAAAATGCAACTTCTCTGTTTGATCCACTAATTATTAAAGGAACTGTAGCAACCCGTATGTGTACTTTTTTTTTTTTTTAATCAGAAACCTGTGTATATATAATATATGTGTTCTTAAAAATCGATAAATTCCTTTTCCAGGTCAAATTTCACTCGTCTAAATTTTAGTGGCTTTTACACTGCAATTCTTGAAAAGAATGATGAGATTATATGTGCCGCATCCTTAAGGTATGTTCCTTGTTTATCCTGGTGCTTAAATCCCATTTGAGTTCATTGCAAGTGAATGAGTATGGATAGCTTGTAAAGTCTCTTTTGAGTTTTCAACTTACAGTTTTGAAATGTTCATTTTGATCTGAAGCAAGTTGCCTTTCTGGTAGCTGTGGACTTCCAATAATTATTTATTCTTTCAGCAAGCAATGATTATATTCAGCAAAAATAACATATACGAGGAATGAATAACTAGGGGTCTGAGACCAATCTAGTGACTTGGCAGATTATAGCCGCTAGGCTAAAAATTTCAATTAGAACAACCAACATAAGCCTCCAAATAAAGTTAGAAAGTTTCAAAGTTATGAAAGAAAGCTGTATAAAAGTTTCCATTTACATTTAAACTCCTTAATCATTAGTTACAAATAGAGAAGATCATCACAAAAGTTGAGAAATTGAGGCTTGTAATGTGAAATCTTCAAATCTTTTCCCGACAGATCTATTCTCAAATGTCCTCCTATCTTGTTCCAGATGAATGCTTCAGTTCAAATAATAGTGGGATTCCTTGCAATTTAGAGAATCATTCTCCTAACAAAAAGTCACCTATCATCTCCTCTAACAAATTCTCGCTCCTGTATTTGGCAGAAAGCTAACAACTATTGAAAAGTATCTACAGAAATGGTATGGGAGATTGTTAGTGAATCAATATGTGGTGTAAGTCATTTGTGGCCTCCTATAAGGATGCTGAAGGTGCAGTTAAACAAATATCATTTGAAGAAGTCACGAGAAGCTAATCCTCTCTAATGGCACAAGCCAAATAAAGAAAATACCATTTACTGATTCAAAAAAGCATCCCTAGGCATGAAAGAATGATCTCCACTTGTGGAGATGCCAGATATAGTAGCTCTCAAGAATGAGGCAGACCTTTTGCTGTGGTCTCTTGAAGGTTCCAACAACTTCTTGGTGAAGTCATTGTATAAATTGATATGGATAGATAGAAGTTCTGAGAAAATTCTTCCTGTCGACTTTTCTTTTGAATAAGTTTATCACTATGAATTGAATGCAAAAGAGAAATTATAGTATTGCTCTTTGCCACTTGTGGTTTGTCCTTTGCTATAAGAGTAATGGGGATTTCAACCACATCTTTCTACATTATGATTTGCTTTAAAATGTTTGGGATTTTGTTCCAGATGTGTTAAAATGAATCAAATCCGACACTTCCTCCCAAGATTTTTCAACCCCTCAAAAAGTAATATTATTTCTCTCATCCAAGCCAACTTCTCCACAAAATTGTGAAGAAGCAAGCATGCCAAAGAAATTTGCATTCCTAAAGGGGAATAAAAAGATCTCCTCAAACATAGACTGTCAACCTCTATTCGTCACCAAATGAACCCCGTAGCTCTCCAAGATCTGATCCCAAATCGAATGGGAAAATAGAAACCTTTGAAGCAAATGATCAAGGTCCTTTGATGCGTCTCTGCACAAAGCAAATTGTTGAGATCCTGAAAAGAATAAAGAACGCCTCTGAATATGGTCCAAGGTGTTCACTTTCCGAAACAAGAATCTTCCACAGTGAGGAGAACAATGGGGATTCTGGGGAAACTAGAGGTACTTAACAAGGACCTCTCTCAGCAACAAAATAAAGCTGAAGCCTCCAATGCTTCCCTATCCGTTAAAGAACGACAAAACTCCAAAGAAATGGAAGACTAATTTTTGGAGAGCAATAAAGCAGAGGCCACTGCCAGACAAATTATATAGCAGGGAAATAAAAGACACAATGGTAACCGTACAATCCTACCAAAAGTAGGTAATCAGATCAGAGTGTGTTTTTTTATTTTTATTTTTATAAAAGAAAAGAAAATCAAGTACTTCTTCTCTTTGGGATACCTACCCAATTCTAGTAAATTTTTGGAGGGTTTTTTTTTTTGTAGAACCTTTAGCCCATCAGTTGAGACCCACTCAAAAGGATGTAGATCATACTTTCTCACAATGACCCTACGTTAAAGAGTGTTAGGTTCCCAAAAGAAATACCACAACCATTTGGCCAATAGAACCCTGTTACAGTATCCTCCACCCCTTCCCACAGTAATTCCCTCGTAATCTTTTCTAAGCTATAACTCATTGGCACCTGGATCTTGAAAAGAGAAAGGAAGCGGGTTGGAATAGCATTTAGGATCGCCTGAATAAGGGTAAGCCTTCCAATTTTAGAAAACACTTTTGAATATTTTCCACGGCTGGACTGCAAAAACACACATCCTTAGGGTTATGAGAGAATGTTGTAAGGGCAATGGTTTGAAAATTTTGTTGAAAGAAATGCTAGCCTTTTTAAATGTAATGCCACTATGTAGTGCTCTAGTTATTTTGTAATGATACCTTTTTTTTTTTCTGATAAGAAACAATGGGATTGTATTCGAAATCAAAAGAGGCCCGGAGGCAAACAGAACAGCCTAGTGGCAGAGGGTCGAAGGGACCCTCCCCGAGGAAACTATACAATCAAGGAGTTCCAACTTTGATAAATCAAAAAGAACCCATAGTTATAAAAAACCTTCTTATGAGTCGAAGCCCACCAAGAAGCTATATGCTTAATATTCACACTAAAAGAGTCAAAAGAAGCCTCTTTCTCTTCAAAAAAGTCTATGGTTTCGTTCCTTCCATAGCAACCACAAAAGAGCTCTAGCTGCACAATTCCAAAGAACATACGCTTTTCCTTTGAGTCTGGAGCCACCAAAACCTTCCGCTACAAAATCATCAATCCTCCTAGGAACACAGATTGCAAGTTCAAAGAGAGAAGCTACGTAGTTCCAAGCCCTAGTAGCGAACGCACAATGAAGGAAGAGATGATCCACTGTTCCAGCGCTATTAATGCACATGGTACAAACTGAAGGGGAAAGAGTCCAATGAGGAAGCTTCCTTTGGATTTTATCGGCGGTATTAGTTCCCCTATAGAAAAGAGTCCAAAGGAAAACCTTTACCTTTTTAGGAACCTT